ATAAAATTATTGAGAGTTTGATAAAAATAAAAAGGGATTTTTACATACCAAGGTGCCTAAACTCTTGCATTTACATGTCAAGGTCTCGAAATACTTTATTTACACACGGAGGTCTCCTTCACGTTTATGTGTGTTATTTCTGTTTTTTACCGTCTCAGTTGAGTAAAAGCTAGGCTGCAACAGTTTGCAAGGGAGGAGGGGATGTAAGAGAATGAGAGCAACCGTTGGGTTGAGCGGTTGTGGGGCGGGAGCGCCAGTGGTCGGCACGTCCGTGGGATTTCCCCCCTAGCAATTCGACCCGTGAGAGGAGCAGGTTGTCAGTCACGTGAGAGGGAGCGGCCCACTCTCATGAAGTTGTGATGCCGTCTGATCTCATGTGAAGGACTTGACCAAACGATGCAATGAAGAACCGGAAGAATGCACAGTGGCATGACAGAGACCTCCATGCGTAAATAACATATTTCAAAATCTTAATATTATGTAAATAGAAGGATTTTGAAACATTTAAATCTTAAAGCCTTAAATAAGGGAAAAAAAATTCATCAAGACTCCAATCATTTGCTGTCACGTGAAAATTTTTTTACTCGAAAGACGTGATATATATTTTTTTTAATAAGAATTTTCTAGAGAATTTATGACCTTAAATATTTACAATAAACTAAGTACAATATTTAATTAATTTTCTGCATTACTGTGAGATCTAGTAACGCATTTTTCTCGGAAGTAGCGCGCATGTCCCTTATAAAACGTCAACAATGTCGCTCCATCAGCATTCAATAGTCATCAATCAGCACCGCTAACGGTCACATTCCAAGACTTAACAGTGAACGTCTACCCTGTAAATTTTCCCGGCCGCATCTCATTTTCCGGCGGGTATGGTGGAGAGCTCCAGCTCTGTACTTAGCTTCTTCCTCTACGGTAAATTCATGGCTTTCTCTTTGAGTTTTGAGCATTATTTTTGTTCTATAAGATTTTTGTTGTGAGGTTGGGGATCCGATCAAGCTGTACTGGATGGATGGGAAGCGGCTGGATCTGGATGCCCCTCTTCTCTCCTTCCGGAGAATCACAGTTCCGGGGAACAGTGAAGAGGTTTCCTTACCGCCGCCTCTGCGGCGGAATAATACTCTTCCGTTCCACAACTCTGAGCTGAAGTTCGGTCAGGTGGCCGTGCCTTTCGAATGGGAGAAAAAGCCTGGTCAGCCGAAGGATAGCTCCGTCGCGATAACTAAATTTGAGGTGAATCCAGCGGTCCCGAAGCTTCCTCCTGGTCGAAGCTTTAAGGAGAGTGGAGTGGATTGGGCGAATGGTGCTTCGTTGCCCCCTGAATCTGAGACTGTAGTTGGAGCCCTAACGTCGGTAGCTTACTCGTCGGGTTGGCGCGATGAGAAGGAGAAGGGGGAAGATGAGGAGGAAAGTTATTCGACGGTGTGCGATGAAGAAGATGATGCATTCTCCGACGCACGGGATGCTTTTTCGTGTGCGGATTCTTTTTCCGTGAGTGCCGGTGCTGGTGGTAAGGATTCTTTAAGGAGATTCACGAAGGATTTACAGTTGAAGGAGTTCATGATGGATCGGTTTCTGCCTGCTGCGCAGGCTATGGCTGAGAATTCTTCGCAACGAACTTGGAGAAAGCCGAGCCGGGCTAAAGTGGATGAGGGCGAGAATTCCGGGAGCCAGACTATACGGAGGAGTCGGTTTCTTCGAGACTATCAATATCATGTTAACAGAGCTCAGCTCCATGGTATTGAGCAAGAGGAGGAGGGAGAGGAGGAATATGATGATGACTATGGAAGTTTTGGAGGCTCCGGATTTTCCTCCTCCAAGGCCTGTGGATTGATTCAGCGGTTTTGCTTGAAGAACCCCATTGGTCCTTTGAATTCTGTTCCAGGTTTGAAATCCCAAGGCAGGCCTCAGCAAAGAAACCCCAGTAGGAGGAGTCAGATTAACGTTTTGCATCATGCTTCTCTAGGGCAAGCGGAGGAAGAGGTGAAATCGCATTTTAATAGCTAATCTTATTGATTATTTATGCTGCAAGTGTTTTTGTTGATTGTTTGTATTGCCATGTTCTTTGCTCAGGATTCTTGGGAGGCAGTCTACAGGTACAAACTGAATCGCGGATATTATCCGCACAGGAATGATGGGAGCAAGTTGATTTGCGAATCCAACCAGCTTACAAGTTGGAGTGATTCTCAAATGTTTGATGGTTCATCCTTTTTCAATACCACCGACAAACATGAGGATTCAAAGAGAGAATCAGGGAGTTGGAAGACAGGGAGCTCTGATCAATGTGAGAGAGTTAATGAAAGTTATTGGGAAACAACTTATGTTCATGGCAGGCTGCAAGGGTCAGGTTCCACCAGTCCTGCAACGGAGAGACCACTTACTCAAAATTCTCTGAGTTTACCAGAGACTCCAGATTGTAAGTTGGCTTTTGCAAACATAGCTTCAGATACAAAGACAGTGACGGAATCTGCTGGGAATAGTTCTGCGGTAGAAGACGAGTTTCAGCTGACAGAAGAAAGTTTTGTTTCTGAAACTTCTGAAGGATATGCATTGCAGTCAAGATCCTCCAAGATTGCTGAGCCGGGCTTTTCATTATACTGTGGAAGATTAAATGGGGTGGAGACACATGAAGATGGCTATGATAATAGTGAAAACAAAGATGATGAATTCACTTTGAAAGTTGATCTTCTGGAGAAGAAAGATGATTCTCTTGCATTGTGTCTATTTCCTCCTTTATTACCCACATCTCCCTCTGACTCTTGGCTTCAGCGTACATTGCCATCTGTGTCTTCTAAAGGTCAACATCAACAGTCTTTTTTGGGTATTCTAAACCATCCTAAAAGACGAGCTTCATTGGCATCATCTGGTGGCCACAAGTCAGTAACATATGGAAAACCCTCCAACTTGCACCCTCGTTAAACAAGATTTGTGAAGGTGCGTTTTTCAGTTGTTTTGCATTAATGAAAATTGAGAATATCTTTACTTTTTACATTTTAACCATTCAAATCTTTCATATCACATGAAAAATACCACCTTTTAACTTTTAAATAGTGATATATACCTTTTCATGTATTGTTAAGGTGGCATGCATGAAAAAATTGAAGTTTAGGTTCTAGATATTGAAACACATAGGAATTGAGTGGTATGTAGGTCATTCTTTCCATCTTTTTATACAATGATTTGATTGTTGGGCATCATCAGGTGGCTAAGGGTACATGATGGCATTTTGGATCATGACGTTCAGAGGCCATTTTTATATCCTTATAAATATTTTTGTCCGGTACTGCAAATTGTTGATCTGAAATTGGTGCTTTAAAGGTAATGCACCTTGTTAGACTGAAGGACTTTGTTTATGTAAATAGGCGGAATTTCCATTTCCGAAAGGTATCTATAGCAAAAATGTGAGTGATGTTGCCTCATTTTATGAAGGCATGCACACCCTGCTTGATTGTGGTATGTTGATGTATATTCTTGTTTAGCTGATTTAACCTTCTTGGTTACTATTTGTGCAATCAATTTTCCTTTGCTATAACTTAATAGCCATTACAGATGGTAATAAGTACATTTAGAAAGGAATGGGCTGATATAAGTTTCTGTGCCAATATTTATCATACCTCATTGAAGCTTTTATTCAGTTTTTTCAAATTTCAGTTACTGTTGAGTTGTTTAGGATATTTGTATGCATTGACCATCTTTCATTCATGGAAATAAATCTTATTTATTAGTGACTACAAGTATGTTCTTTCTTTTTGCTGGCGAGTAAAGTAGTAAATTATTTATTAAAATCATATGATGTGGGAGACGGAAAGAATCCCAAAGTGGGAAAAAATATTACGTGCGGATCAGATAAGTGCAGATGAGTTTGGATTTGGTGATATTAATGGTATTGTGGTGAAATATCACCACAAGACTACCAAATACCACCAATTCGTATATGTAAATTTCACGCGTAATATTCGCTCTCAAAAGTGGAGTGCTTTTGAGATTCAATATTTTATACTTTTTGAATGGCATCTCACTTTCATATTATTACTCATTGTTTGATACCAATGTTCGGACAATTTTTGTCCTGACAAGAGGGCTTGCGAGACGCAACTTTTCACCTACAAAAAGTCAAGTTGAAGATTGAGCTGAATTCTCAAAACAAGATTTTCAAAATTATGTTTGCTTTCATTTTTTAAAAATTGAGTTTGCTGCTAATCAACCAGAAGTAGTCAAAATATGCGGATAGACCTAAGTTTGATGGATGTTTCTTGACAATTAAAAAATCTAAAGAAATTGCCTAAGCTTGTAGTGCAAATGATAGTTAAGATGGTTGATAGCAAGAATCTTAGATTATGAAGATCAGATCATTAAGGCATGTCTTTAGTTTGAATATTTCAAGTGCCTCGTAAGATAACTTAGGTTTGTGTTGCAGATAGTCGTATGTTTTAGGACTAGATTCTTTAACTCCTTTACTTGTGTTGATGACCACTTCTAGCCTCTAGGGGATATTTCTCTTTGTACTGAGGTGAGACTTAATAGAGATTATTGCTAAAAATATCTCCTTCATTTCATTGATGACGGGGCTCGTAGAGAGCCTTACAAGTTGTAACATTTACAAGTAAATTCCTAGACTTCATCTATTTACAAGTAGGACCCTACATTAGATATAAATCTCAACACTCCCACTCAAGACGGGCAAAATATATTCACTAAGCCCATCTTGTCTCATAACGAAGACAAATCTAATGAGCTTAGTCCTTTAGCGAGGCAGTCCACCACTTGCTTTTCAGTGGCTAAATGACTTGGCTCTAGTAGTCCGTTATCAGCTTTTCCTTGATGAAGAACCTATCAATCTCCACATGTTTGGTTCTATCATGTTTCACCAGGTTAGCAATGCTGATTGCCAACTTGCCGTCACACTACAACTTCATTTGAGTTCCCTGATCCACTTTGAGCTCAACCAACAAGGCTTTCAGCCACATCATCTCAACAATTCCTAATTTCATGTCCTTGTATTATGCCTCTGCTGTTGATCTTGCTATAACTAACTGTTTCTTGCTCTTCCACAAAAACAAGTTATCACCTACAAACATGCAGTATCTTGATGTGGATCATCTGTCATCAGCACAACTTGCCAATCAGAATCTCAAAAGCCCCGAATATCTACATGCTCATTCTTCTTTTATATCAGCCCTTTTGCTGGTGTACTCTTTAGATACTTTAGAATTTAAAACACTGCATCCATATGACCCTTCCTTGGATCATGCATGTGAGGCTTACCACACTTACTGCAGAAGAAATCTCGGGTCGAGTGTGGAACAAATAGATCAGACAATCCACCAGGCTCTGATACCTCTCACAATCAACCAATTCACCTGCCTCTGTACTGAGCTCATTCCTCTGATCAATTGGAGAGACTGTAGATTTGCACTCCCACATACCTGTATCCAATACATACATTTTCTAGGATAGGATCATCCTCTCAGCTCCATAAGCCACTGCAATCGCAAAAAAGTATATGAGCTGTCCCCAGAACCTTTACCTCAAATTGCTTCCCCAAACCTCTCTTCAGTTGAGTAATCACTGTTTTATCATCACCAATGATAATTATGTCATCTACATACACATCAAGAATGATAGTGTGCCCTTCATGTTGCCGAAAGAACACGTTGCAGTCTGCATTGATCTACTGTTATCCCATGTCAACCATTGCTATTCTGAACTTGTCAAACCGGGTTTGAGGAGACTGCTTCAAGCCATATAGTGACTTCCCGAGTCTACACAACTTGCCCACTGTTTGGGATGTACTGAATCCTTGTGGTATCTTCATATATACCTTCTTCAGTAGCCACCCATAAAGAAAACAAATTTTCAAATCCAATTGGTGGAGTCTCCAACCACCATTCACCATCACAAAAGCCGGTTTTGTCACCGCGCTCATCTTTGCGATTGGTGTGAAGGTTTCATCGTAGTCAATTTTGTACGTTTGATTGTACCGTTTTGCTACTAGTCATTCTTTGTATATCTCCACCTTCCCTTTTAGAGTTTGCTTCACCGTGAAGACCCATTTGCATCCAACTATCTTCTTCACTACTGATAATGGTACAATCTCCCATGTTCAGTTTTTATCAAGTGCTCTAAGTTTGTCATGCACCGCTGCTTTCTACTAGGGATTCTCTTTAGCAAACTTGCTAACACTTGGGTATAGAGACAGAAATCACTGATGCAATGAATGATTCATGCAAATGTGAGATGTTAGAATAAGAAATAAAGTTTGCAATATCAAATTCCCACCCAAAAAGATAAGAAGAATGGGCATTGCTGTGAGGCGCGCATTTTCTGTCCGGACACCTGACGTATCTCTACGTGCGGTGCAGGTTATTCTTGAGTTATTTTCATGTTATTTCTGGATTATTGAAAATAAACCATAAATAACCTGAAAATAACTCAGGAATACCCTGCGCCGCACGTAGAGATACGTCAGGAGTCCGCACAGAAAAGTTTTTGTGCTGTGAGAGGTCTTACTTAACATTGGGGGGCAGAAGTGGACGGAGGAAGAATAATATTACCTGGGAGTTTTGAATCTTAAGTAGATGGTGTAGGTGTCTCAAGAATTGGGAAAGTCCGGGACAAGAGAATTGTTGGCACCGCGGACTCTGTTCCCCAAGTTTGCTTTTTCCTCTGTGCTTAAACCCTTAACTCACCTTCAGCCTGAATCCAACCACCTTTGAAGTCATTCTCCTCGATTTTCATCTTCTCAGTTGATTCACCCCACATCATAGGACATGACATTGCTCCCACTTGCACCACTCCATCACCACTACTAATCACTCTCTCTTGCCTCATATCCCTAGTGACATTGCTCTCACTTGCACCACTCCATCACCACTACTACTCACTCTCTCTTGCCTCATATCCGTAGTGTCTGTTGAGCCACTGAAGGGTGAATTTACCTCTAGAGTGCAATATGATTCAAACTCTTTAAATGACACATATACTCACAAAGAGTCTCTTCTCAATCGGGCCCAGCAGACATAACCCCTATGAGTAGCATAATAACCCACGAACAGGCATTTCACAACTTTGGGATCCAACTTCCCTATAGATGACTTGTTGTCTTTAATAAAACATATGCATCCAAATACCTTCAATGAAAGGATCTCATTTATTATCTCTTTTCAATATCTGACAAGGTGACTTCCAGTTTAGCACTCTTGAAGGCATCCTATTAGTTAATTGAGTAGCTTTGAACACTGCCCCATAAGTGTTGTGGGACATTCATTGCCATAATTTTGCTCTAGGCTACCTTTAGAATATGCTGATTCTTCCTTTCTGTTACTCAATTCTATGCTGGTGTGTATGGACATGTGGTTTGCTGTTATCTTTCTTGAGCTGACAGGTAGTTCTCAAATGCTTTGTCGATATATTTTGTTCCATTATCAGATCACAATGCCTTCACAACTGTACCATATCGGGTTTGGATTGCCTTGGTGAAATCTTTAAAGCAAACAACTATCTCACTCTTCCGTTTCATTAAGTATATCCAGGCAACATGAGAAAAACAATCAACCACCGTAATAAATATCGATAATCATTCATAGAATTAGGACAAGGTCCCCATACATCAAAATGTATCAAATCAAACACACTAGAGCTCCCAGAGCTGACATAAGATGTCCTAGTGAGCTTGCCAAACACACAAGCATCACACACTGGTTTCGCCTTATTTGTCTTTTCATACATAAATGGATACGACTGACTCAGTAAACTAAGACTAGAATGTCTCATACATCTGTGATATAGCTATAACATATCCTCAACATTCCTCCCAGATTCTCCTACTGCAGCACTTTCCACCATGGATGCCAGAGCTGAGTCCATCCCTTCTCGGTCCAAGTACCAGAGTCCGCTATGTCATGCTTTAGTCCTAAGTGTCATACCCATTCTCTTGGAAGAGCACCTCACGAATATGAACAAAAATAATGCATTTTAACTGAAGAATAATGATACAAATATATAAGAGGTTTACTAGAAAGAAATGAGAATTCAAAATATTATACAAGTCAAATTATTAGTACATCTCGTCGTACCCTTAACAACTACATGCTGTGCTGTACCATCAGCAGTTTGTATACTCTCTAGTACTACTAGATGAGTTTATATAGAGAACTCTTCAACAATACCTGTCACGAGACGAGAAACACCAGAATCTATGATCCATTCTGATGATTTTGTGATGGAAATAGAGGCAAGAGCAAGTATGTCACAAGTAACTTTGCTAAAACGAACATAAATGACATTGTTACCCCTTGATGTTGAAGAATTTGAAACATCCTCAGCTCAATCTCCTACTATTTTCTGTTTGTTTTCTGTTTCATATTCAACAGCTCCAGACACTCATGTTCCTCACTAGTAAAGATCACCCCTATTTCTCTCTCGTCCTCTGCTACCAACACTTTTGCCTAGTATCCCACTCTTCCACCTTTTCCACCCCCACTACCACAACTCGACCTCCATCTTGTCTATGCCCACCTTCTGTCTCTCTCTCCTTTCTGTCTCTCTCTCCTTTGGTGGTTTAGGATAGGCTCTGCTTAGATGGTCAACTTCACCACAGTTGTA